TGCTGGAGAACGATTACGACACTACGCCCAACCACTCTGAAATGGAGGAGGCTGGGTGAGAACATTTGTTTTAACTTTATACACAACTGTCCAAATGTTTTCTCTGTGATGGTTTGAACCAATTTATAAATGTTCAACACAATTGAAATCCAGGTTCTGGGAATGGTGACATCATCGTAGCAGTGCTATACAAAGTTAAAGGTCACACAAAGACAGAGGAGGAAGCTAGACTAATATTAGTTTTGACGGATGTTTGAAAAGAGGCCTTGATTTGAACAGTCTGGCTGTACACGAGTAAGTTTACATATTAGAACTTGTACCTGTCTGAAAAAAGCTAACAGTTACAAAAAGTCAACATGAGCCGAGCCAGGAGCCGCGCACGTCATCCACCTCTGGTTGTTCTTTAACATTGATGTTCATGTAGTGCTGATATATAGTCATCTCTATTGCCTACTGGTTGAGTAGCTATATGGATGAAACTTGTTCTTGAATACCGACTGTAGCACATTAAAAGCTAATTTTATGTTGACTACTATTAAAGAGTTTTTGTGCGGTTTTGATTTTTCACAAGAGTTTGGTTCATTCAGCACCTTATAAACCCCAAATTGTGATGGCTTGTCAAGATACATTATATAAACTTTGTCTGCATGTGTCAGCTGTGATAAAGCCATTCTTTCTTTTTATTTGCAGCAGCCCTCTTCCATCCTCTGAATCAGTGGCACATGGAGAGGAGGGTGAGGATGATGGCACCCTGCCGTGCACAGAGGACGTCATCTGTAAGACGGAGCAGATCACCAAGAACATTCAGGAGCTGCTGAGAGCCGCCCAGGAGACCAAGCATGAAAGGTAGTTTATGACTAATAGAAAACTATTCAAAAACAAACCACCTTATTAATTTACGTGCTGTAATATAAGCATAGACTTTATGTTTTTGTCATGGCTGTATTTCTGTCATTCTGCCTGTCAATAGTAAATAGTATTTCATTCTCTTTAAGCTGCTTCTAGGTCAGCTGTTCTCAATAGTTCACCCCAGAGCCCAGAACTATGATGGGTTTAGATTATAATAGCCAGCTAATAACCAGTGACTTATTAACATCTGATTTAATGGCAATTGCAGTTTTATAGTAAACCAGCAGCTCTCAGTAATTTGAGCCTTTTTATAGAGTGGCCTCTGTCTTGAAAACTGTCTGCTGGGGGTAAACCGTGGCTCTTGAAATGCAGCTGACAGGAAACACCACATGACCATCTATTCCCCTGTGACCGGCCAAATCCACAGCAAGTTAGTGTAGTCAAACTGGTTTTCTTTATTCATCCATGTCTGTTTACAGTAACAATTTACTGTTCATATTTTCCTGGTTTTTATCATGATGTTTTGAGATATTGGATGTTGTCCATTTGACCCGATCCTAGTTTTTCTTCAGTTTCAAGTTTTTTAAATCGAAACTATTTAAGAGATATTCTCAAGGGTTAAAATTCAAAGAAAGTGGTTCCTGGCAAAAACATCATTTACATTTGATCTGTATTAGTGGCCCTAATGTGCACACATACTATAGTAATACATGAAACAACAGTAAGTGCTTTTCCCAAGGAGTCAGGGGCCTAATGTTGGCTTTCAGTGTGATTCTTGGCTCCTTCGGTTAGAGCTTTGGTCTCTCCGGGCAAATGAAACTGCTTTCACTTTGAGTATAAGTCATGATGTTGATGACGGCTGTTTACTTTGAAGCCTCTGCTAGCCCAGTGTTGTATTTGCTCTTTTTTTTTGTTGCTTTGGTGACACATATCATCCAAGCTATATGTCAGCTCATAATCAAATACAGTAGATGGGCAGTGTGTCAGACATTTTGAATGTTTACTTGGAAATGCAGGAGCTGTGCAAAAAGCAGTCATTATTGTTATAAGTTTGTGCAAACATCTCAAATTTGATCGAAATGTGCAGTCTGCTGTATTTATAAATAGTGCTTACTGTTGGCACAGGGAATCTTGCCTCAGGCTGCTCTTTCTCGTAATGAGGAATGTCACATGTTGGCTGTTGAGCATTGTTGTATCTATAAATGGCACAGGAGTGGTTGATCAGCCTTTTGTCTTTATCTCCCTCAGCTTCCTGCCTTGTTCAGAAAAGATCTGCGTGGCTGTGAAAGAGATGGCCGCCCTGTTTCCCAAGGTAAGATGGCTCCGACCCACAGCTTCAAATCCCTCCCCCGAGCAATTATGGGATTTATTTTGTGTTTGAAAACAGCCAAAGGGAACCTTTTAATGACTTTTCTAGACGAGGTAGGACCTGTTCATTGCATGACTTAGTTATATATGCACAGTTAATCAGATTACTTTGCTTTATGTTTACTGACACACACAGCCTGCTGACTACAATGAGGGTTTATTTATGGTGGTTGTCATCTTATCAAGTCTCCATCATCTCTCCTTCCCCCTCACAGAGGCCGTCCTCGGACACGGTTCGAGGGTCTCTGTATCTCCTCACGTCCAGCGCCAGCCGACTGCACGGAGAGTGCCAGAAGGCCGCAGAGCACAACCCCTGCCCGTCGGACATCCAGCTGGTCACTCAGCAGGTCATCCAGTGCGCCTATGACATTGCCAAAGCTGCCAAGCAACTTGTCACTGTGACAACCAAAGAAAACAATAACTAACTAAAAATCCAAAGACATTCCTGATGCACCCAAAATAGTTTATTTAGATGCCGCTAATTTTTGTTTAATCAGTGTTAACACAATTTTGTTCTAATTAGTCGGCAATTATTTACGTACATTCCTTAAAAAAACCAAGATGCACCATGTAAAATTACAGACCAATCTAAACATTATTTTGATGTTTTTGTATCATGGTAATACAGAGTAAACAAACACCTTTAAAGCTGTAGGATAGAATCTGTTACTCCTCCTAACCTCACAAAGAGATAACAGTTTAATCCACACAAAATCCAAAAGTGCAATGTTGTGTGTATATAAACAAAGAACAACAAGCCTTCTACATTGTACTTTTCCACATAGAGGTCATCATAGATACACCTTTATCTACACCATTGTCATCTGTTTATTTTCCTTTTTTATTTGAAATGTTTTTAAGATGCAATGACAGTATTTTAGTCTTGAACCATTGTGATGCCACTTGCTTAGAGTTCAAATGTTTGTTTGGTGATTATGCAAGTAGCTTCAGTGCATAGAGCACCATGTAAGGCCAGCAGTACAAACGGTGTGCAAACCTTCATTCCATCCAGCAGCTCCAGCAGGGGATTCAGCAAAGTGACAGTAGTTATTGGAGTTATAATGTTACAGCCATACTTCTGATGTTGTGTGTGTGTGTGTGTGTGAGAGTGTGTGTGTGTGTGGGCGCAGTTGTCACAGAGATGGCCTCGATGGCCCCTGTGAAACCCATTTTGAATCAATTTTAATAGCATTATGCAAATATATAAGATGTATGTATCTATGTAATTCTTTATCAAAATAACCCAAATGCTATTCTATTTATGAACTGTGTGTCATACCTCTAAGAAAATATTAATGTTTATTTTCATAAGCTTTTGTTTAACATGATGCTCCTCGCAGACTAACTTTTGTTCTGAGGTTTGGGACGTCTCAGCTGGCAGTGAGTTATGGGCAACCTGTGATCTCTGTCTATTTGGTGTGGTGCTCTAACTCCAGTGTGTTCAATGCTACCTGTGGTCACATGCGTACAGCTATGGTTTACAATCACTGAAGTTAATGTGCCCTTAAAGTTAGAGTAGAACTCGGGTCTTATGTTTCACTTGTTGTTGTGAGCCAGATCAGTCTCAACCAGGGGTGGAAAGCTAACCAGAAAACACCGCACACGCCAACAACGACAATTAAATATTACTCAAGTAGCTGTAGAAAAGCTTTTTCAGACCCAAAGAGAGGATTATTAAAATGATTCAAACTATCTTCAGTACAGATGATTACACCATTAAAGTATTCATTTTATATCAAAAGTCTTAAAAATAATTTTTTGTTTTGGACCAAAACCGTTCTCATGGTTTGCTTACAAGCTTGTTTTGTATCTGCATTGCACAGTCTAGGCAGTGTAAGCTTTTTTTTTTTAAATTACTTATTTTTAGAAAATAATGTCTGCATCTTTTTTTCAGGATGTTTTGACCATGCAAAAGTATTGTTATTTTCTAACAATTAATGATAAATGTGGACCGATGTTCTTAATGCAAAACGATAGTAACTCAGTCCATTATGCTTCAATGTCTATTTAAAGTTATCCAACTGTAGCCACTATAAACTAGTGGTCATACCAGACCAAGTTGTCTTTGGAAAAACCCCTGAGCGTAATGAACTGCTGAATTGTGCATTTTATTGCTTATTAATCCAGCTTTCGTTTGTAAAAGAAGAACGTCTTATTTCCTCTTTAAAGATTTGCAGTCTTGAAAGTTCCTGCAAGTCATTTTAATGATAAACTTCCTGAAATAATGACGTACTATATTAAAATACCTTCTTTGAGATACCAAGGATGTCAAACATCATAATGACTTGCAAGATATATATATATTTTTTAATTAAAAAAGATTGAAGTCCATTGGTGCCTGCTCTCACTGGAAGCAATGGGCTTCCATATATTGCATATTTGTTCCAACCTAATATAATGATTAATCTAAGGGATTACTAAATAAGAAAAATACTTCTCTAGGCTATAAAAAAAAACACATTTTAAGATTACAAAATATATTTTTTAAAGTACATTTGTCAAAAGCTAAAATACAAATGTTTCAGTTACTTTCCACCCCTGGTTTCAACCCTGACATTTGATATCCTGTAACTTCTAGCCTGCCACTGCCTCTGTGGTTGAAAACAATTCCTGCCTTAGGTTTAATAAAGTATAATTCATACCTCAAATATCTCATTGTCGTGTGTGTGTGTACTTGTGTGTGTGTACTTGTGTGATGAACAAACAGCGGTATTAACACGCCCATGTATAAAGTCCCACCTGTTGGAGGAGCAGGAAAGCGATAGGGGCTGCCTGCGCTCCCCCACCCCACCCACCTCACAAGAGTTCCGGGTTCTTTCAGACGAAAGCTGCTCGCTGCTGCCGCTCTCACACGGCAGGACCATGGCTCTTTTACTGGATAACCAATTCAAAGACCTGCCTCCTGACAAGGCGATAGACACAAAGTTGTTTTTGGAGGCTGTGTCTCATATTCCTTCATTTTTTGGTGAGTATACCCCCACTTGAACTCGATAAAACTTTAGTGTTGGAGGCGACTGTTGGTGTTATCGCAGTCACGGTTCATAGAAGGCTGACTTGTTCCTCATGACACGTTCAAATGACCGGACAAATCGTAGTTATTTTACACATACCAGAAGTGGAGCTGCTGCTGGGTCACGGTGGGGGTCGGACCCAGCTGTTTAGCCTAGAGAAACTCTTTGTTTACACACTGAGCAGAGCAAACATTGGCCTCATTGTGCCTTTTAACTGAGACTATGCATTCACTGCATTTTCCTCCCTCTGTGTGTATTCACGTAAAGGCTGATCTGTATTCATCCTCCCCTCTGTGCCAGGGACTTGTGTGATGAAGTCATTCATATTTTATTGCTTTGCTCTCAAATGTCTGTTTCTCTCTCAGACTGCTTGGGATCAAACGTATTTTCAGTCATCAAATCAGACATTAATGGCAACATAACGGTAAGATACAGATCTATTAGGACTCTGGTGTGTTTTCATAGCACTGTCACAAATATGTAACGTGCAAACTCAACCCCAATGTGCCTTTTTCAGAAAATTAGAGCAGTTTACATGAAGGATCCTGCAAAGTACGTCACCCTGCAGGACATTGTGGAGGCAGAGCGAGAAGCCCATGCAGCAGAGTGGCCTAAAGTTGGAGCAACACTAGCTTTGATGTGGCTGAAAAGGTTAAAACTCCATAAGCTTAATGTTATGTCATACTGTATGTTGAATATTCAGCTGCTGAACTAAAACAAAGGTATGCTTTGTCTCTCCTGCAGGGGTCTCCGTTTCATACAGATCCTGCTGCAGAGTTTGGCAGATGGAGAAAGAGATGAGAACAACCCCAACCTAATTCGGGTTAATATCACCAGAGCATATGAACAGGCGCTGAAGAGATACCACGGCTGGATTGTACAAAAGATTTTCCATGTGAGGAAAATGTCTCTATATGTTTTTCTTAATATTTTATAGAAATATTTTAGAAAAGTGGACAAAATCTGACCACACCATAGATTATCCCATCTGAAGCTTTGTTGCTTGTCTGAGTTGCATTAAATAATGTGTTTCTGTAATAATTTTCCATCTTATTCTTTGCTATAGTATTATATTTTATTCTTGGTAATAATAACCCTGTATTTACCTCTACATTACTGTTAGCCTAAATGATATTTTTTCCCTGTTGCAGGTAGCATTACATGCAGCTCCATACAAGTCAAACTTCCTCAAGGCTCTGTCAAAAGGTGAGGAAGTGAAAGAGGAGGACTGTCTTGCAAATGTGCGTCAGTTTCTGGTGAATTACACTGCCACTGTAGATGCCATCTACGAGATGTACACCAATCTGAAAGCAGAGCTGGACTACACTGTGTGACGTCCCGGGACATCTGTCCACCTCTCAGGGGTCAGACGAATCCAGTTTTAAAAGGTGTTTTTAATTGAATTACTTTTTCTTTCTGTCAGTGTGGTATTTATTATTACTTTGATAATGCCTTTTAAAAATTACTACAGTATATTTGGTCTTAAAATCATGAAAATGCCTTAAGATTTTAAAACATAACAAAGGGTTATTTGGTTTGATTTAATGAAGGATTTTCTACAGCAGCTCGTACTGTGCAGAAGGATGTTATTGTGTGTGTTTATTTATGACAAAAACAGGTGGAATATCATGTATTCCACAAAGAGATTTAACAAGTCTGTAAACACTGTTATTACATGTCACAATATATGTTAAAACCTTACATTTCAAATGTTTTCTACCTCCTGAAGCAGCCCTTGAAGTAGTTTAAAATTAAACAGCTCGTTTCAGCTGTGCATTATTCCACTTGTGCCTTGGTGTTACAGCAAACATATCCAAAGCTAAGCAAAAAAGACGTTTGCAATTCCATTTTACCTTCAAAGCTAAATTTAGCAGAGCCAGAACAATTGCATCAGAGGGCTTAACCGGAATGTGTTTGTGTTCAATAGAAGGTGTGTTAGACCTTTGTTTGTATTGTATCTATGGTTCTATGGCCTATTTTATTCCTCCTTGTCAGATCTGATGTGACTTCTTTTATCAGCATTAAAATGTCAAACCAAATTATTCATGTTAGCGGACAGCACATCACTTCATACATTTATTAATAACTTATATCTGCATTTTCTCTATGCACAGGCTGGTAATGAAGTATGATCAAACATGTTTAATCATAAGATTTTAAAGTATGACTTTAAATAAAAATATAATTGTAACTTCCAAGTGTCTTAATGAACATCACACTTAAAGTTCATGAATTGTTCTCTAGGTGGCGATATTTACTTACTTGACATCTGTGTTCCAGCTAATACAATATTTTAATTATGTTCCGGGGGAAAAAAACCGATATGCAATGTAGATACAGTTCCAGTCATAGCCAGATCTTAAATTACTCTAAACAGCAGTTCTGATTTATGTTTGTAATTTTGCAAGAGTGGATTTGTGCATTTTCAAAAGCTCTTTTGGTTGACCACAAATTGATTTGCTCTCTGAAAGACATTTCTGAGGCGGATTGCTGATTTTTCTTAAAAACTAAAATGATCTTGAACACTCAAACATCCGCTGTAAATTGGAGTAAAATCCTCTCTTCTTCGTGTCTCCTAATCCCCCACATCAAGCAGCCTTTTCCTCTGGCCAGTCTTACTTATCTGAAGTGTGTCCCAGAGGCCATGTGGCTCTGGTTCCTCTCCCAGAGGAGCCTGAGCTAATCGTCTCAGAGCGAGAGGAAGAGCAGCATGTCTGTAATCCTGAAGGTTTATCAGCACAGCGGCCTGGCCTGTCCCGGCTGACAGATAGGACGGAAAAGCTCCGAGCTAAGCTAGGACACAATAGGCTAAAGACAGGAAATCATTTACGACAATGCCTAAATGACAAAGCCACTGACCTTTAACTCTGAAATAGGTTATATGCAATGAGGTAATCAATTGAATATTGCAGATTCATTCCGAACAGTGCATCTAATGCCATTATTCACACCATCCAGCGTAGGCCTATTTGTTTTATAATGGTCTACTTAGAATGTTTTTTTTTTCTATGGTGACCCAAAACAAATTACTGCTATAGCATCCAATTTAGGAAGACAAATGAAGCAAAATAAGAGGTGCAGGCACACCGCCATCTACGAATAGCAATTTAATAGCTGGGTAACAGCAAGCCCATTTCTACATAATGTGCGCAGCAGTATTACTGTGGATCCATCTTCGAGATATCATGTATTTTTCATACATAAATGTAATTTTAGAGGTGGCCTGTACATTTTCATTTCCACATATGTATTTTGAAGTATTCGATGTCTTCTGCCTCAAGCGATGTCCATCCATCTCGACTAACGTAATTCACTATAACAAAATTAGCTATTTAAACTCGTATATAGAGGAACCAGTCCAATATCTTTCAGCTAAGGATTGATTTACATCCCATTAAAACCTGAGATCCTGCAGTGAAAGGAGACATTAATAAAAATGAGATATATGATTGAAGAATAAAGACTTGCCAGGTGGTTGAGCTTTAAATCCCTTTGCAATAAAACCAGAAATATGACTCATCTTTACACAATTAGATTATTGTTCATGAATATAATAATAACATTATAATTCTCAGCGACATGTCAAATAATGAGTAATAATATGCAATAACACAAACTATATGTTGGGTTTAGAAAATTTCATTTACTTGACAATCCTTATTAAGAAGAGGCAAAAAAGGGTTGAGGGATTAGGGTCATACATTGCAAAATGTAGTTATTCCAACAACATACTTCATGGAGAGCGCTCACATTTTCATATATAATAATTGCACTTTATAATTATAGAGACAGTTTGCCTTATAACTCAACAGGCTGACATAAATAAATATTATTACAGAACCAGTGCAGACACAGAAAGAACTACTCAGTCATACATCTTACACCATCAGAGATAATGTAGCCCTACAAAGAAGATATAAGGTGGCCTGCTCTCTAACATGGCACTCATATACACCCAGGTGTTGTGTAACACTGTCACAACCCTTTTCATTCAAGAAACATTTCGAAACAATCTCTTAAAATCAAAAAAGAAAAACAACCAAAGGGCACATCTTGCCTGGCCTGAATCGCCACAGTGTTGATTTGGATATGCAACAGTCGTAATACATTGTGCTGAGCATGAATACATGAAATCAATCAAGATGTTAAGTTACGTAACTTTCTCTATGGCTGCGTAACTAAATAATATATTCACGTTTGTATACAAATGATCAAAATGTTTCCCCATACAGCAGCCAGGGAATTTGCATCATACTGCAGAAGCCTGGTGGGTTTTGAGTAACACAACAAAGCAGCAGACAACCAAACGTTCATTTAATATTTAGGAATGTTCTAATAAGAAGCCATTTTAAGGAAAACCTATATTCACCAAACCATCCTTTCCAGATTCAAGTAAATGTTTTCAGAGGGGTACCAATGATTATTTCAGTTCAGTACATTTCCAGTTTTTGTAAAAGCCTACAGGGGAATCCAAACATCTGCAAAATACATACATGTCAAAATGAAATGGGGAAATTCTGATTAGGTGCTCAGCATCAATATTTAATGAGGAACAGCAGGCATATATGATGGCCATTTCAGATATAAAAAATAGAACATCCATAAGATAAACCTGTATCTTAAGTCTTGATTATCAGTTACTGTTTCAGGCTCATAACACAAAGCCTTCTACAAATACAGTACATGCACAAACTAAAAACCCCTGTCTCATTCTCACAGACGTCTAAACTTCCATCCTCTATAAAAGGTTTTGTCACTTCTCCGTCCCGTTGTTTGGCAGCCCCCACCGGCTCTTATCTGTAGACGGGCAGCTGGATGTGTGTTTGTTGGTGGTGCTCCAGTAGCGGAGGCATCCCCATGGCTTGGTAACCACGTCCCAGCATGCTCTCTTTGATGCAGGGAGGGTGGATCTCACTGATGAGGCACTCCAGAGACTGCAGGCTGCTGCTGAGTACCGCAGCGTGGCACAGGCTGGAACTAGGCAGCCCACAACAGAGGTTTTGGTCTGTGCTGTAGGCCTGGGTATGAGGAGGGTGGAGCTGAGGATGATGTCTCTGCGGTTGGTGGTGTGGATGGCGGTTTGGGTGGGGGTGGAGATGGGGGTGTGAGAGCCCCAGGTCTATAGGCTTGCTCGCCAGCACCTGAGAAGGATAACAGTCGCTATTAGGGGTGCAGTCCCAGAGTGGAGCGTAGTACTGTCCCATAGAGAACTCCCCCTGCATGCAGTTCAGAGAGGAGCTGCTGACCCGCTCCACACTGGCAGGATGGGGTCTGTACGCCATCTGGGGGGGCAAAGGGAGGCAGGTTTCAGGGGACTCGTCCTCTCTGTGCCTCTGAGCGCCGTTACTCACACTGTACATCCTCATGGCTCCCTGCTGATAGGGCGGCTGGATATGAGGTTTATGCTGCCACACGGAGTACTCTCCCTTCTCCAAGTATCCCGCTTTGGCTCTGTCTGCACTCTGTGTCGGGAGCACCGCCCCTGTGAAGGCGAGACTGCTCTGGGGGGGCAATCCCAGCACAAAGTCTGAGTCTGAGTGTGCCACCGCGGCCACAGCCTGCAGAGAGGGGCTGGCTCGAGCCTCCCCCCCCAGCTGCAGGGCCTGGCTGTGGGGGACTCGGCTCATCTGCCTCATCAAGCTTTGAACCTCTGCCAGCTCAGACTGGGGGGCCAGGCTCTGATCTCCGGAGGCCATGCCTGCGCTGGAACACAGTGTCTCAATGGGAACATCATGGGGCTTACATGAGCTTATATGATAGGCCTTATGCCCGTGTCTGACTGTGTAGCCATTATTCAGAGGATTATTATACGGTGCCACAGGATTCTGGCTGTTTACATGTTTAGTCCTCCTGCCCTCTGAGTTTTTTAGCACACCTTTTGCTGACACGGAGGCTTTGATGATGGCCAACAGCCCCTGGTGGCCTCCTGTGTACAGGTGGGAGTAGTCACAGCGTGTGCCTGTCGTGTCTAACCCGTTGACGGTTTTGTTTATCTGTTTATGCTGTGGCACCCGGACCTCAGATGGAAAGATTTTGATGGACAGAGGGTTGTTGGCGGTTTTCTGGGCAAAAGCATCCAACTGTGCAGGAGAAGGGTACCGAGAAATCATGGAGGCTGGCTCGCCTGGGAAGAAAGAAGACAGAAACGAATGATTAGTATTCAAGCAGCTCAGAGAAATATTTTCTGTGGTTTTTCAGTGAAATTTGAAACCTGTTTTGGGGGGGAAATGCAGACATCACCATGTCCTATAAACTAATTTTAAGGAGGGAAACACCTCCAGCCCTGTTTGATCAGTGCCTAATGAAATTATTTCAGACTTAGTTCAACCCAAAATTAGGTTACCCTGGGAAATCAAAAGGCAGGAATTGGGAGAAGGAGGAGGGAGGACCTCATTTAACTGAAATGGCTCCAATGAGATTTATTTGATGACATTTAGCCGTTAAGCCACAGCAGGATTTGAGCAACACCGGTTCCTGCCTATGAAATTTGGTTCCACTTTATGCTTTTATGAACCTGAACCGATTCTACTGTGAAAGCTTGGAGCCTAAACTGTGAGGGAAAAGTTGATGCAAATGGAAAAGAGCAATCACAAAGAGCACTGCTGATTGAATTGTGTGCCGGAAAGCTGACGGGACAAACTAAGATTGGATTTAAACACTATTATTCTGGCAATTTCATGCCTGCTTAACTCCCGGCGACAAAGGAAAGGTGGAAAAGGCGCCCCATTTAAAAACAATAAATCACCTGGTAGAAATTACCGCCACCATTCAGAGTGACACTTTTATGGAACTCCTGACATGAAGAGAAAAGGCGGTGAAATTAACCTATACAGCAGAAATCATAGCAGGCAAAAGAACAAGGCTGTAATCTGCAATAAAAGGGGCGCAAAATAAAAACAAAACACTTCATTTCATTTTCAATAACAAAACCAATTCCAGCTATGCAGGGGAGAGATCACTTGTTGTTCCCATTTGAAATTGATTTGGGAGTTCATTTCATTTCTGGCCTACAGTGAGCCCTCCCGACTGTGAGAATGAA